CGAATGCACAATAAGGTTAGGTGAGATGGTGCCATTCTATCAACATTAAATCCTTTGTATGTGTCTTCTCTCTAAGCTACCGCTACTGCTTTAATGAATTGTTAATGTACTGATGCATTACAGAACAGGTATAAATTGCTCACAAGTGCTAGTTGTAGGTTAAATACCCTCCTTCACTTCAAGAGAAACTGACAGTGTTATTCCAAAAGCATTAAAAAAAGATCTTGGTTCATTGACTCTGGGTACACAGCACTCCATCAGCTCCATCTGTTGTCTACATTCTCCAAATAAGCACTCTCCAAATAATAACAGGTGTGTTTTCTGATGAGAAAAAATGTTTAAAGAGAGGTTAAAGACAAAGACTTTACACACCTGATACAAAGACAAAGTTACAGCAGTTTGAGTGAAGGACGTGTACTTTCAGGTTATATCAGAGCGGTCTGTTCAGTAAGAAACAGTATCTGATCTTGCGTGTCTTGATGTGTGTGTATTTGTGTATGTGTGTGGAATATGCAGCAGATCACATGATTCTGGAACTTGACATGAAACCAAATAAAAGTCTAAATGGAATCAAAGTTCCAAAAATAAACAAAAACAAAACAAGAAAACCCCCAAAAATCCCAACAACAGTGACAAGTCTTGTTGTCACATGAAACGCCCGTGGGCATTAATTTAAACTGTTGTTTTTGCAGTATTTTTGTGAAGCAATTAAAGTTTCATGTTGTGCTCCACAAACTCGCACTTCTGCTTGATAACCAGTAGTCTGTAGCAGAGAGCCTTTTATTTGTGGCTGCATTATTGCTCATGACTCTTCCATGATTGTTTACTTTAAAAGAACACGCCACTAATTTAAATCATTCAAACATGTTAGCTTGTCATCTACAGTTTGAAAAGGATAAAAGAGAAGAAGCAACCGAAGAGCTTTATACAAAGTAACTCTTTATTGATTTTTTTGGTTAAGTGGTTAATAATTAACCTAGTTTGGGAATTTGAAAAACAAGCGAAGGAAAAGGGGGAAAAAAGAAGATAGTAATAAACTGCTGCACTAATCCTCTAATTACATTATGTCACATAGCCTCGAGTTAACATGTACTTGTGTTGTTTAATATCTAATTTTTTAGTCTTCTGATTTGTGAGTGATCAGCTTTCTTTTTTTGTGAAATATGGCCTCTGGTTTACTGTGCCTCATGCTGATCTGATTGTGTTGCCTGAATAATCAATAATATGCCATGACACACTGGAATAGGGTAAAGGAAGGAAGTCTAAGCTCATGTGATCATGTTCATATTGACGGCAACATTGGTTCCTAATACAGCTGCTTAACTTCAAGTGAAAATAAACTGTTTAGGTAACTAGCCATGTCTAGTTTTACTAGACATGCTTTCACCTCCAGTAGTATTCTACTGATCGCAGTGATTATTGTGGTGCCAACCAACTTCCCAAATGCAGCAACAGAATTGCAAAACTCCTCAGTGCAAACCTAATAAACTCACTAAAAGATAGATAACACAGATTGATGAAAAGATAAACAGTCGCGTTGTTTATTTATTTATGTAGAAATAAATAAATTCACAAAAACTAACCCAAAAAGTTAAAATGGTAGAAAAACTATGACTCATCTTCCTCATTTTAATGAAATTGAGTAAAAGTGGAGATACAGCCCTTTCTTGTGTCAAGTATGCTATGATAAAAGCTTTCCGGTTAAGCTTGTCAAAGTAAAACACAAAAGTGCCCACGTGCACATACACCAGGTTTCTGTGGCGAAACAAAGCATCTGAAAACATGCACAGAATGACGTCAGCTACTCATGTGAGTCAAGAGCTCAGGTTTCAGATTGTTTAGTTTCAGTCATTTTGTGTCTTTGGGGATATCCCGAATCTAGTCATCTCTAGGGACGGATTGTGGGTGTGAGCACAACCCCCCCGCCCAGCTGGCTTAAAGGTAGGTGGGGAGGCTTGTTTCACAATGAGTCCCCCAAAGTTTATTCTGTTCATCTGGACGTACCGTCATCAGTGGAAGAAACGCTTCGTCGCTCATCCAAGTGACTTCTTCAATCTCAGCTGACTGCAGGTCTCCCCAGTCTTATAAACAGTCAAGGTTTACTTACCTGCATGATTGAGCATACATCAAGACGTTTCACAATGAGAATAAATCAGTCCAAACATAAAAAATAATAATTGTTTCACTTTTAATGATTTGAACTAAATTAATGATGAACAAACTCTTATTTTCATCGTTTCAAAAAAAAACAAAAAAAACTGAATTTTGTTTTCTTGTGCAGTGCCCCTTATTTTCTCGGTTTGTCTCATTTGTGTGTTTATTTACCTGCATGGCATATAACTAATATATGTACACACACGTTGCTCAATTACAGAAAAAAAACGTGGTGAGGTTTGTGCTTTTATTTTAAAGGGAAACTTAGCCAACTTCCGCTTTCCGCTGCCTCGCTCTTCCTACTTGACAGCCTTGTAACGAGTTTCTGAGACAGCGTGCAGGCTGGCAGGCACACTGGAGGAGCAGAGCGCTGAGGGGCGTCCTGACAGCAGCAGCGGTAGCGGCGGTACCAACGGTGGGAGGAAAACAACCTGTTCTCCAAGTTCTCCACAGTTTCACTCCGCCTCTCTACAGCCCTAAAAACCAAACTCCAGTTCAATTAAAAAGTTTGCGCTTTCCTCTGAGGGTGGTGGAGATCATCATCATCATCATCGTCGTGTGGCTTCTTCAGTGAGCAGTGGTCATGTCGGGATCGCACTGCAAAAGTTTGTACCCCTTCAGCGGGGAGCAGCACCAGCAGGGACTGAGCTTCGAGGCAGGGGAGATTATTAAGGTGGTCCAGGCTCTGCCTGGAGGCTGGTGGGAGGGAGAGAAGGATGGAGCCAGGGGATGGTTCCCCTCCAGTTACGTCCAGGTCCTGGAGGTAAGGCTGCAGAATCGATTGTTTTGACTTTTTAGGACTGCATTGGATGAAAATGTGCTTGAGTAAATTGAACTTATTTGGCTTTAATTTTGATGAAAACAAGCAGAAAAGTGTATTTTTAATGCCTCTGTGACTCTTGACACACACACAGTAACAGCTTGGTTTGAACCACAGATGCACACTTGAAGATAAAGACAGCATTGAATGATGCTCTAACAAATAGTTTTCCCGTGCTGCGCTTATCAGATTAACTCAGACCTTCCCAGCAGTCACCTCTCCGCCTGGCTGAGCGGCTGCGCACTTCCTCATTCCATACGCATTCCAATGAAGCGCTCAGGTCTCCTCTCTGTGCGCCTGACTGCTCTTCATGGTCAAAACCTTTCAGTCCTCGCCCTATCTATCCCCTCTGTGGGTTTAGCCACACTGCTGCTACAAGTCTCACTAGATCTCCTACCTTAACATCGGCATGTATGGCTCTGAGAGGAGTAGTCAGTTTGTGACACCACCCTGTGTTCTGAGAGTTGGTTACAATGTTGGGCACTAAGCCCAGCATTCTCAGCGATGGCATTTTTATCTTATCTAGATAGCATATGCAGAAACTTGATTAGTGACAGCTGAATGATGCTGATGAAAAAAGAGCCATTTGCAGGGGTAAAACAAAAGACCGTTCAAGCACAGCATCTCTTATCTGGTCCCAGACCAGTTTAGGGACAGAGCTGATGGGTGGGGCAGTCGGGCGGTGCAGGTTGGAGAGTTTCATCAAGCAAACCACAGTGAGCTCTAAAGGTGCAACATGTTGGAAATGAAATGGCAGAAGGGTCTTTCTGCTTAATAATAGGGTGATGTTCACATGTTAGTGTTTTAATCATGACAGAGTTTCAGTATGATATGCTTCCAAATAACTTTAATGAATCATGACACTGAAAGGTGTGAAAAGTTGCCTTTTATAATGAGTAAAGGC